TGGGATGAAATGTCTTTAATGCAGGGAGGGGGATATCTATTCACAATGTTTATGCTGTTCGTCTCTGTTATCAGATCGCCACCTTCTGGTTGGCAGTCGCCATGACGGTAACCGGGGAGGTGGGACTTCAGCCATTACGACTCAACTGATCGCAGCGCTAACGGAGCAAACCAAACAGGGATGGGTGCCGGACCGAACCACTGTGTTCTGCTCCTGGGGAGGCACGGCCCTGGGGAACATTGGCTCCTACGAATGGGGAAAGGTCAGAGAAAAGAAGATTTGTTTGCTTTAATGCTAACCTTGGTGCTAAATGAAATCATGAAAAAGTCTGGGATCCCAAACGATGGTTAGATGGACAAAAAGTTAAGCTCTTGTTTTGTGGGCAGTAAAGTTTTTATGTGATCCTGAAATGCAGCCTTTCAGGTTCCATTTATGGTTGTTATGGTAAACATCTTGTGAATGACCCCATTAAGACCATTTTTATTTGTTGTTTATTCAGGATAACAGCGTCGTCCTTCAAAGCAGCGCTGTGGCCTACGTGAGTCTGAACTCTCCAGTTCGAGGGACGGAGACTCTTGGAGCCACAGCATCTCCGACTCTGCTGCAGCTCACTTCAGACATTCAGAGGGTAAAAAAATTCCTACTGCTGGATTATCTGCACAATGCTTCACGATGCACTCCACTATGGGCTTCCTGACAGTAACAGATCACACAGGCATAAATCTATTATTTATTGATATTGTCATACTTAAGGGCAGCATATGTGTCATGCTTCTGTGTTATATATTCAATTCATTTATATATATAGTTAGTTAACAACACATTTTACATCAAAGCACTTTGCAGAGATTCAATTAGATCGATTCAAAGTTTCCAATCTAAGGAAAACCAGCTGATTGCATCGACTCAAGACACTCCTTTCGGATGAGCTGGCGGTAACAGTAGACAGAGCTTGCATTGTGTTTCTGCTCTCAAACCAAGCATGCATGCAGCGACAGTGGACAGGAAAATCTTCCCTTTTAACAGGAAGAAACCTCCAGTAGAACAAGGCTCAGTGTGAGCGGCCATCTGCTGAGGCCCACTGGGGTTCAAGGAGACAGAAGCAGACATAGAAAAGGAACATAGAAGTTCTGATCTGTAAATGTGCTGCTACCATCAACACCTTTGTTTCTAGATGTTGGAGTTTGGCCTGTTTTTCAGTGTAGTCCTGTTTCTCTGACCGGCCTGGTGTCGCCTCAGGGAGCAGCTGGAGGAGGCGTGTGGATCAGGAAGTCTGGGCATCTCTGCTTAGACTGCTGCCTACATGACCCGGATAAAGAGGATGGATGGATGGATGGATGGATGGATGGATGGATGGATGGATGGATGGATGGATGGATGGATG